GAAAGGACCTGCTCAATAGATTGGGTGTCTCTTAGGTAGTAGTTGATGAAGACGTTCTGCGTTCTCCAGAAGCCTGCCCTCAGAATGTGTTTGAGGGGGGCGCCTGACGCTAGCGCTGGTGAGTTAGCAATCGCACGAACCTCATGTGCTCGTACTTGGTGTCTCTGCAAGGTCTGTGTTGAGGAGGATAGTGTATTATAGACCTCCAGTACAGTCGCAGTAATCCACCTGGAAGACGGGGAAGCCGGCTTATCCTGTTTGCCAGGGCCGTAACACAAAAATATGTGTTTTGTTCCCCGTCTGGAAAACCTGGTACGGTTCTCGCGGCAACTCAGCATTCGGACCGGGCAGAGAAGCAATTCCCCCTGATCCTCCGGGCCGACAATATTTGCCAGCCGGGGGATGACGATCGGGTGAGGATTGTGTCCTGGGATTTGGTTTTAGGTCCATAACGGCGGTACATCATCCGAGAAGAACAATGCCCCCCCAGCTCTGGCCGACGTCTACATGAGGCGAGGACCAGCAGGAAGACTATTTTCCACGTCAAAAATTTGAGTGGTGCTTGATCGGAGAGGCGCAAAAGACGGTCTGTTTAGAGCGGACAACACAGCCGACAAGTCCCTTGTATGGGGTCTCAGCGTCTGGAAAGCAGTAAATAGTCTCCTAATAGTAGGACAATCGGTTAGTCTTGTTCCCGTACGTTTGAATGGTGGGGCACAAGGCCGACATGTAGCCAACGATCGCTGCGTAGGACAAACCCACTTCGTCAAACAGGTGGACGAAGGAGCCTGCTACCTGGCCAATAGAGGGATGGTATCGATCAATCTCCCTTCCGCTACACTAACCAGTGTATGCTCGCAACCTAGAAATGTAGGCTGCATTGGTGGAATCCCTGTTTGCCCTGGCCAGGATGTTGGCAGCCCGCTCAGATAAAGCTTTTGTATGTGCGGGTCTACTGAGAGCCTCTATGCGGGTAAGTGATACCCGCTGGGCTCGTGGTAGTGCGCCGTCCGGTAAGTCCGGAAGCACTGCTGGTGTTTTGACTATCGTTTCCGACAGAAGTGGAAACTAGGCCCTGTTTGGCCAATTGGGTGCGACCAATGATAATATGCAGGTGTGCACCTGTCGAAGTCTTCTCCGGTGCCCGGTGGACTAGCGGGAAGGGAGGAAAGGCGTACACAACTAAGTGGGTCCGCGGGGTAGCAAAGCGACCATGGCCCAGGCTCCTGGAGTCAGCAGGAGTGTTACGTACGTCGGGAGCTTGGTGTTCTGGGGTGCGGCAAACGATCTAACCTTGGACCGTCCACAGCTGAAACAGCCTGGACGCTACCCACTGGGGTATCAGCCACTCTGGGTTCTGGAGACGGAGTCGCCCGTAAAGGGCGTCGCCAGACTGTTCCTCACCCCTGGAAGGTGGTGTGCAGTTAGCTCCACATTATATTCCAGGCACCAAAGGAGGATTTTGCTCCGCTAGGACTGACAACGATGGGGAATGCGTTCCCCCCCCCCTCCTTCTTGAAGGAGACCACCGCTGTGTTGTCTGTGCGAAGCAGGACTCTGTGGTCTCGAACTACGGGTAGAAAGCGTGGTAGTGCTAAGTACACTGCTCACAGTTCGAGCCGGTTGATGTGGTGGTCCCGAAACTTATGAGGGAGCCATATCCTTGGGCTTGTTCGTCCAATAGATGCGCTCCCCATACCTGCGGTGAGCGGGTCCAAGGAGACCCCTCTGCCTGAGGTTGGCCAGTGACAACCACCAGGGCAGGGCTTCCTTCACTTGGTCCGAGATCGAAACCCACCTATCTAGTTCCCATAGGAGAGCTCGGCGATATAACAAGCGCTATACCGGGCGGCAGCGTAGTACGGCCTGGGGAACGACCCTTCGAACCGAGGTCATCATTCCGATGATCCGCATTAGTTCACAAAGGGACACCAAGGGAATGCAGACTAGGCATTCGGGTAGGCAGCTTAGCGCTAAGCAATACGCTTGAAATAGCTAAGCCAAGCTTACCTCTGTGTCAAAACTCCATGCCCTGGGGACACCAACTGCGCGTTGGCTCGAGGTGGGACTTGTCGATTTACTAACGAGCCCAACTGGTGAAGTAAATCCTGTGTTAGCCTGATGCATTTGGCTATTACCCCTTGCCCGAGTTGTTGGTAACCAGTAGTCTGTGTATGGATTGAGGTGTACCGACATCTGGTGAAGTAGCAGCACTACCTGTTTCATCATTCTGGTGAACACGTAGGGCGCTGTGCCTAACCCGAAGGGGGGGAGGGGTTGCACCGAAATTTGAATACTTGGCCCAGCTGGGCGATTCGAAGGAGATGGCAAATCACTAGGTGCATCGGTACGTGTAGGTAGGCCCCGCTTAAGTCTTAGCGGGGCTAGCCAGTCAAAACGGTGGATGGAGAGAAGATGGATGGTGTCTCCATGTGGAACCGATCGAGGGGCACGTACTGATTCAGTCTGCCCAGGTCCAAAACTGAACGCCTGCCACTTGTAGATTTGGTACTACGAACACATTTGGGTAGAAGCCTGGACTTAGTTTCGGCTGATGTACCCTGTGTATGGCGTCTTTCCCCAGCAAACTGCTACTTCCTGTCTGATTGCTTCCGCCTTGCGGGAGTCCCCTGGCAGTGCCCAACAGGAGAGACACTGACAGGGGAAATGGACATTTCAGCGGTATCCCGTAAACGGATGTCACCACCTGGAAAGGTCCGGGTATCGGTCACCCGCCATCTCCAAACCAGAAACACACCGACCAGGTAGCGTTTGGTCCAGTGGGAAGTGTTGCCTTATGTTATCCCCACCCGGGGGCCTTAAGCATTACATTCTCCGCGGCTGACCAACGCCGCCCATCAACACCATTTGCGTGCTCTGCGCCCCACTCTGCACTCAGACGAACAGGGAGAGACGTGCCGATGGGGTTGCTTTGGATCCTGACGCCCGTGGTCGCTTTAGGATCAAGGGTGGGGGTATATACATCGTATCACTGGGATCGATGATACTCCACCTCACCCCGAAGCGTGGCTCATCGAGTCATACAGATGGAAGACTCTGAGGGACCGCCGGAGTACTGTGTGTTTCATGACAGGGTCGGTTCCCTCTGGGGACGCCCGTGGGTCGGTAAGAAAGGAGTCAAAACCCACAGCAGGGACCGGACACAAGGATAAATTCGTTACCCTAGCTGGCTGAAAGGGGGGGGGGGTCAACGTGTGCCCAAAATAGGGGGAGAGCCGTGACTGGGAACGGGGGTTCCCCAGAAGCGACGTGTTTGAATGTAAAC